TACCCCTCACACACACACACATGACCACTCTCTGCTTCCACACCAGGCACCCTTCTCCCACCCTCCCCCACCCCAATTTTTAAAAAAACAACCCCACCCCTACATCAGACTGCACCCGCCACCCCCTCACATCTCTAGATCTTTCACAGACCACATCATCCTGCAATACTCATACACTCAGCCTTGTACCAGAATACACCCGAAAGTGGATGGTTGGTGGGTGCTCTGGTGTGGTTTGCTCCTCCTTTCCTGTCAAATATCTATCTTCCATATCTGTCCTTTTTGTGTGTGTTTGTTTTTTGTCTTGTAATACCCAATCCTCCGCACTTACTTGACCGCTTTGTGTTGCAAGTGCCATAAAACTCCTTCATGCTCAGTCCCTGTAATCAGTTTAACATCTTTTAATTGTGTCCAGGGTTTTTTCCGACGTACAGTGCAGCAGTTGAACAATGGAGGCACACCTTACGAGTGCAAGGGCTCCGGGAATTGTGTCATCGACAAAAAGTCAAGAAACAACTGCCAGTACTGTCGCTTTAACAAGTGTCTTGCGGCCAAGATGGATACAGAGTGTGAGTAGGACAGATGGGGCTATGTTTCTGTGTTTGCTCATGTATAGTACAGTGTTAATGTGTTCATCTTTGCACCTGCTCACCTCTTTGTTTATATTTGATCATCTTTTTGTTCATTTATGTGGTCTTCTCACAACTTGCTCATCTGCATGTTTGTCAGTGTGTTCCCATTTGTATCTGGTCGTCTGTCTGCCTGTCTGTGTTTTCTCTTCTGTACCTGGTCATCTGTCTATTTGTTAATATGTTCATCTTGTAGGTGGTTGTCGGGTGCTCTGGTGTGGTTTGCTTGTTCTTTTCTATCAAACATCTACCGTCCTTATAGAGATCTCCCCTTCTTTTTTTGTTTGTTTGTTACTCTCTTGTAACACCTCTTATCTTCTGGCACTCTTAAGACCTTATACAGTTGCGAGCGCCGTAAAACCTCTTCTAAAATTAAACTAATGTTCTTCTCTGTGTGCTTGGTCATTTGTGTGCCCGCTCATCAATTAATGTGTGTGTGTTTCATTTGTGTCTTCTCCTCTGTTCCTCTATGAAATCTGTTTCTCTAATTTTCTGTGGGTGATTGGCACGAGCTCTGGTATGGTTTGCTTCTTCTTTCCAATCGAACATCTATTGTCCTGATCTCTCCTACTTCTTTTTTTGCGTTTGTTACTCTCTTATAACACCTCTAATCTTCGGCACTTATGACCTTATAGTGTTGAAATTGCAGTAAAACTCGTGCTACAACTAAACTGATTGTAACTGGACAGCTCAGGCCGGGAATATGACCTTTAAAGCATGCAGTGTGATTATATCAGAAAACAATTGTTTTTTTGTTTTGTTTTTTTATTGTTTGTATGGTCTCCTTCGAACCTACTCATCTGTGTGATTGTCAGCGTGTTCCCAGTTATACCTGTCTGTTTGTCTGTCTGTCTGTCTGTCTGTCTGTCTGTCTGTCTGTCTGTCTGTCTGTCTGTATGTCTGTCTGTATGTCTGTCTGTATGTCTGTCTGTCTCTCTGTTCTATTCTGTATGTTCTATTCTGTATGTTGGTTAGTATGTTTTTATTTGTGCCTTGTCATTTGTGTGCTCCTCTGTGCCTGCTTTTCTGTATTCCCATTTACTTAAATATTCGGTTTGTTCGTTTGTTTGTGCTCCTTTGTGCCTCCTTGTCCACAGTGTTGTGCTGTTTGTCTTTTATGGTCTGTTCTTATGTTATTTCTATCTGTCACTCTTTATTTTATTACATCTCTAAATGGCTGTAATGGTGCTGATGTGTATTTCTTTGTGTCTCTTAATCTTTACTTGTTTGGTGGAATCAGGGTCTTGTTAAGTTTGGAGCATGCAAAGTTATTGGTTTCATCTTAATGCTTATTCATTTGTCTTGCTTTGAATGAAAAAAGAATTCATTTATCTTGAATAGTTCAGTCAGAGGTAAAATTAGTGATAAAATGGCCACCAAAGATGAGTTATTGTGTGTCCCTGTACTCAGGCGAAGAAAAATATTAAGGAATGTATGTGTTTGTATGGCTGTGCTCAAGTATGTTTGTCTGTGTGGGTGGTGGTTGGCGGGTGCTCTGGTGTGGTTAGCTTCTTCTTTCCTATCAAACATCTATCGTCTTTATCTTCCCTCCTTTTTTGTGTTTGTTATTCTCTTGTAACACCTCTAATCTTCGGCACCTATTTGACTTTATTTTGTTGCAAGTGCCATAAAACTCTTACTAAAACTAACTGTCTGTGTGGTGGTATGTTTGTGTGCTTCCTACCTGACAAGAATATAGACTGCTTAGTGTCGGCGCTGCCATTCGCCATTTTAAAAGGGTGATGTATAACGAATTCATACACTGAGCAGTGGATATATGTTAGCTTAGGGTGCGAGAGGCAGGTCATTCCTCTTTGTTTCCGGCTGCTGTTACTGTCTGATCTATTTTTTCCTCAGCATGAAACAGGTTTCTCTTACTGAAATAAACACTTGGTGTCTTGGTCTATGTTGTTTTTGTGTTTTGTTTGCCTACCTTATATACTTGTCTGTCTGCCTCATGTTCACAATGTTTTTCTGCCTCACAGCGGTGCTCAAAGACATGCAGCGGACGCGCCTCCGCAAACTGATTGACTCCAACCGCAAAGAGCGAGAATTGAGGAATAAGCGGACTTTGAGCGCTGATGAGGGGAAGACTCTGACTAGGCTGGGCCAGCTTTTTCAGACCAGCCAGAAGGAGCTCCACTATTTGTTTGTTTCTAAAGAAGAGGCGCAACATATAAAGGTAAAGGAATTTTTTATTTTCTCCTCTGTTGCTGTGGTATCATCCTTATCTCCCCTTTTTCATAAAAAAAAAAATGTTACTCAACAGTAACATCTTTTAATCTTTGGCACTTATTTATGATTTATTTTTATTGCAAGTGCTGTAAAACTTATTAATAATTAAACCATGTAACTTTTCCATTCTCAGTTCAGTATGCCTTTGCTCCTTGCCTCTGGCTTTGCAGTTTTAGGGGAGTTGGTAATATTGTTTTCCTTTCGCACACTTTCTCCCCTTTTTGTCTTCTGCTCAGGGAAATGTTCTTGCCTTTCCTTCAACATTTTGAGGCAGGCCCCCTCCTCTCCTTCAATACATAACCCACGAGTCAAGACCTCCTTACTCTTAACATAGTAGCTATCAGGCTCTCCATGTCCTTATTGCCCCTGGAACCACCTCCACTGGGTAACACCCTTTCTGTCCTTTTATTGCTAACAGTTATGCTAAAATCTTTAAGAAATCCTTATGTTCTAAGCAGAATGAGCATTTCATTTTGTGTTTTAGTACATGGACTGCCATCTTTGCCGGACCCAGACTCGTTCTTTGGAGGAGGCTTTGAGGGGTGGTCATGACATATGATAAAATGTTTTTTTAAGGAAGGTTCTACCCTATGACATGTATTGTTTTGGAACCACTGACCCCTATCATTGTCAGATTAGTCTACTATGTGGGTGGTTGGCAGGTGATCTGTTGGGGTTTGCTCCTTATTCCCTGTCAAACATCTGTCATCCTTATGTCTCCTTTTCTTTGTATGTCACTTTCTAGTAACACCGCTATTCTTCTCGGCAATTTTATGACCTATTTGTTGCAAGTGCTGTAAGTAAGACTCTCACTCAAACTAAAGATAAGTCAGTGAGTGGTTGGCGGGTGCTCTGGTGTAGTTTGCCTTTTCTGTCCCATCGAACATCTATCGTCCTTATCTCTCCTCCTTTTTTTTTGTGTTTGTTACTCTCTTGTAACACCTCTAATCTTCGGCATTTATATGACCTTATTGTGTTGCAAACACTTACTAAAACTATGCACTAATTTTGAAAGACAGGCAAAAATGGCTGTTGTGACATCTGGTCACTATCAACAAAATGTTTTGAGTAATACATTTACTATTAATGTGTTGGCCAGTAGTATGTTGTGTGCATGGTAAATTGTTCTTTTCAAAGAAACAGTTATCTGTGGCAGGCGAGGCCTCAGTTGACGGTTTGAAGGCATTTTCAAACTGTCAATTACCCTCAGAAAGTATGGTTTTATTTTGGTGCCTTGAAACGTTTGGTTTGTTATAGATCTAGCATCGTCCTTGTCTCAGAACAGATTAATTCTGCCAGTTGAAAATCACGCAGAATTACGAGCGTAAGTGCATAATCTGCACTTTCCGTAATCTTTTGAACCCTGACATCTTGAGGTTGCTGTGACCCCTCTCTCTGCCTGACCTACTCGGTGATTCATTCCTATATTTATTTAGGAAATCACTTTTTTGTCACCAGACTACTCGCTCGTAACTTTAACATCGGCGCAGACATCTTGGCAAGAAGTTAGTAATAAATAAAGTACTGCTATTTTGCTTGGCCGACAAATACAGGTTTTAAACATCCAACAATGATGCTAGGGGGGGGGGGGGTACACCGGTAATTTTTCTTGCCACGGGTGTTTTGGTGGCCAGGGCTTAAGGGGTTAAACAAGAATTTACCCAGAAAGTTTAGGAAGCTGAGCAGAATTCCCAGTGACCCAGTTAGCATTTTTATTTGGTGGATAATTGTCAAATTTAGTTTTGGCTTTCAGGAACACACCTTTCTTTAGTTTTACATTCTTTTTTGTTCTTCTTCAGCACTTACTTTCTGCTATTTTGTCTAAGCACTTTTTTAACTTGCACACTGCTCCATCCTGCCCATGAATGTATTTCTGTGGCCTGTACGACCCTTGAGACCCATTAATTCCTTGATAATTCTACTAAAACCTGAGTGAGGCTGATCGCACACACTTACATATTTTGTTGTTATGTTGGTACATCGCCCATATCACTGTTTTGCAGCCCACATCTCTGTTCTTCCAGTTCATGTTACCACGTTCACAACCCAGTGTGCTCACACCCCTTATCTGTGTAATTATGTTCACATTTTGCATCACTGTGTCCACACCTGTGTATTATTTATTATGTCTCTGTTTGCACCATTATATCACCATGTACGTTTGGACTCGATTCTTGTCTTCTGTAGGCCCAGCAGCAGCAGAAGGGACCAGGACAGATATGTAGCCCGGGAGTGAAACATATAAAACAGTTTATCCGGAGCATTCCAGGCCTTGACCAGGTCAGTGGAGAGATTATCCTATCCTAAGTCAGAAGTGGGGTCATCTTATGTCAATAGTGTGGTCGGTCACTACATGTCAATGTCGTCTCAGTCAATTTAAACCAATATTAGTGAGTGAAGTCATTATATGCTGAGGTCATCTAAGTCAGAAGTGGGGTCATCATAAGTCAATAGTGTGGTCACTAAATGTCAATGTCATCTTGTCAAAGTCAGATTAAGCTAATAGTAATTGAAGTCATTGTATATGACAAGGTCATATCATAAGTTAAATGTGTGTGTGTGTGTGTGGG